TAGGAATCATCCAACTGGAAACAGCAACATTCTTTAACAGCCCATGACAAAAGGAGAACCTGGTCCATATTGATTAATAGCTTGTTTAAATTCTTTCAGTAATTTAAGAGGAAAAGACTCAAATGTAGCTATAATATTTCCCCATTGATCTATAGGATGTATTCTAACAGGGAAATGCCAAGCCTCTAAATCACCCTCTCTTCAAGCTTGCTGAATTCCTGCCTGAATAGAACTGAGAGCGGTCACTCAAGGTGCTGCTCAAACAGTCACTGGGGCAACTACTTTTCACCCAGTGTCCTCCAGAAAAGAAAGATCTGGAGGATCAGGCCACTCTTTTTTTTTTTTTTTTTTTTTTTTTGAGAGTCTCGTCTGTCAGGCTGGAGCAGTGGCGATTCAGCTATGCAAGCTCCTCCCGGTTACGCCATTTCCTGCTCAGCTCTGTGTAGTGGGACTACAGGCGCCACTGCCGGTATTTTTTGTTTTTTTTAGTAAGACGGGTTTCACCGTGTTCGCAGATGGTTCGATCTCTGACTGTGATGCCGTCGGCTCCAAAGTGCTGGATTACTTGAGCCACCGCCCGCTCTTTTTTTTTTTTTTTTTTTTTTTTTTTTTTTTTTTTTTTTTCCCCAAAATAATGAGGGTGTGCAGAAGAGTAGGGATGAACCTCTTCCTCCTTTGCTGCTTTAGCTTTAGCTGGCAAACAAACTTGCTCTGTTACTTCTTCTGTTACTTTGTTATACTTTCCTTCTTCTTCATCATCAGTGTGAAAAGGATCCAAGGTGGAATGAACCAGAGCCCACGCTTGTCCCATTGTTACCCTGATGCTTCCGAGCTCCCCTTCTTACTCACCATGGGGTTTGCTTAAGAGTACTCGGGTGTCCTCCAGCTTAGTTCCACATTCTCCAACTGTTGCTTTGGTGACCCTTTGACCTGGGTTCGAGCCTCCATGTTGGGTGCCTCTTGCTGAGACCAGCTCGGTCATGGAGACCCTAACCCAGCAGCGCTAGAGGAATTAAAGACACACACATAGAAATACAGCATGTGGTTGGGAAATCAGCTCACAGACTTCAGAACTGAGAGCTTCGAACAGAGATTTACCCACATATTTATTGACAGCAAGCCAGTGATAAGCATTGCTTCTATAGATTGTAGATTAACTGAAAGTATTTCTTACAAGAAACAAAGGAATGGGCTAAAATAAAGGGATGGGCGCTGGCTAGTTATCTGCAGCAGGAACATGCCCTTAAGGCGTAGATTGCTCATGCTATTGTTTGTGGTTCAGGAATGCCTTTAAGCTGTTTCCCACCCTTGGTGGACCAGGTGTTCCTTGCCCTCATTCCAGTAAACCCATAACCTTCAGCGTGGGTGTCATGGCCATCACGAACATGTCACAGTGCTGCAGAGATTTTGCTTATGGCCAGTTTTGGGGCCAGTTTATGGCCAGATTTGAGGGCCTGTTCCCAACACAATAGCAAATTCAAGGTTCAATATGGAGTCAGGCACAGTGGCTCATTCCTACAATGCCAGTACTTTAGGAGACCAAGGCGGGTGGATCACTTGAAGTCAGGAGTTTGAGACCAGTCTGACCAACATAGCAAAACCCAGTCTCTACTAAAAATACAAAAATTAGCTGGGCATAGCAGCACACGGCTATAATCCCAGCTACTCGGGAGGCTGAGGCAGGAGAATCACTTGAACCTGAGAGGCGGAGGTTGCAGTAAGCCAAGAGTGCACTACTCCACTCCAGCCTGGTGATGGAGTGAGACTCTGTGTCCAAAAAAAAAAAAAAAAAAAAAAGGTTCAATGTGAATGAGATGTATAATAAAATGGTTCCTTTAAAATCTTACCTTCTACGGAGCATATATTCTAAGACACTCACATAAAAACCAGTTATTGAATATGGTTTTTGAATAGCACCTATGGCCAAGTGTTATTCACTAATTAATTCAACAATTTATTCAGTGCATATTGTGTGTCAGGTGCTACTCAGTGTGCAGAGATAGGCACCGCAGACACAAAGATTAAAGAATGTCAAAACACAGGAGGGGAAAGGGCACTCTAGGAAAGCATCTAGATTTAAATTTTATATTACTATTTACTAGCTGTCTGATATTGGACATGTTTCCTAAGCATTTTCAGCTCCAGTTATCTTATCTGTAAAAGGGGATAATAAACACACTCCTTATACTATAGGGCTTTCTGAAGATTGTTCTAGTCATTATGTGGAGTGGATAGTAATGAGGCAACACAGGAACGAAGAAGGGAGAGTTAGGGAGCTATTGCAACAGTACTAGGAGAGTCCAGGGTCATGACAGGAGTGGTGGGAAATCAGCAATCAGGATATATTTGGGAATTGGAACGAATATAACCTAATGGGTGGTGGTTAATTTGATGTGGCATACGAGGGAAAGAGCGGAATCAAGGATAACTACTAGAGTTTTGACTGAGGCAACTGTGTCAATGATGGAGTCATTTGATTGGATTGGTAAGACTGGAGATTTCTAAGAGAGAATTGGGTTGTATTTTGTATATGTTATATCTGAGTTACCTATTAGACATTCAAGTAGACTCCAAATAGGCATTTGAACGTATAGATTTAAACTAAAGGGAGTATCTGGAGCTAAAGGCCTAAATATAAGAAATAGCAATGTATTGATGGGGATTATACCATGAGATAAAGTTAATTGATTAGATGGAGAAAGTAGAGAGAACAAAGAAGAGTAAGGACTGGTCTCTGGATTACACCAACAATCCAAGCTCTGGTATAAGGCAGGGGTCAGCAAGGGAAACAGGAGCAGTGAAGTCAAAGAAAAACTAGAAGCATGTGGTGTCCTGTTTAAAAAAGTCAGGATAAAGGAATAATCAATAATCTCAAATTCTCCTGAAAGTTTGAGGAAAATAAGTCCTCAGATTTGATCATTGGTTTTGATTAGATGGGGGGTCACTGTTGGCTTTGACAAGAGTAGTTTCAGTGGAGTGACACATGTTTCAGCCTGACTGAAGCATTGAGGACAGAATGGCAAAGAAGAGGAAGTGGAGGTGGGTAAAGACGACTCTTTTTTGTGGTGGTGCACACCTGCAGTCCCAGCTATTAGGGAAGCTAAGGCAGGAGAACTGCTTGAGGCCGGGAATCTGAGACCAGCCTGGGCAACACAGCAAGACCCCCTGCTCTACATGAATGAATGAATGAATGAATGAATGAATGAGACAGCTCTTTTAATAAATTTTGCTATAAAGGGAAACAGAGAAAGAGGTCTTGGGCAAAGTGAGTACTTTCAAAGATGGTGGTGATATTTATATTCTGATGGAAATAATCCAAAAAGAAAAACAAAATTGATGATGCAGGAGAAGGGCTAAATGAAGGAGAAAAATCTTGAATAGGCTAGAGGATATGGGATCCCCACATACAAACTGAAGAATAGAGTTTAGACAGAAACCAGGACAGTTCAATCATTTAAGGAAAGAAACCAGATTGCAGAAATGAGGGCAGGGAGCTGGTAATTTGGGGGTTGGAAAGATGAGGAAGTATCTCTTCTGTTTGTTTCTATATACTGAGTAAAGTAAGAATCACAGCTTAGAGCGATGGGAAAGGGAGAAATATCCTGATTTCTAGATACTTTTTCTCCCTGGGGGCCTGGGTCACTTCATGATTGTGTGACCTGTGCAACAGCAGAGGGCTCTGCATCCATAACGGGCCCATGCTTGGTTTAGAGCTCTGCTGTTTCCGGTTTCAAGTTCTTAATCACTTTTGAACATGCAGCCTCCATATTTTGATTTTGTACTGGAATGAACAAATTATGTAGCTACTCCTGCTAGCAGGTTTTGAATCTCTGTCATCAGCATACTAGAATTTCATCAAGTACCTTACTATGGGACTTTTTCAATCATTGTACTGAATCCAAAATTGGTCTTTTTCAAAGAGTAATTAAATGTCCTTCCACACTAAGAAACTTTCTTGAATTGCTTCACTGGTAATTCCTTCCTTCTCTTTTTTTCTTCCTGCAAATCCTATATTCTGGATATTAAAGCTCTTGTAGAATTCTCTAGTTTTCTTAAAATTTTCCTCCCATTACCCTCCTATTTTCTACGTCTTTGTATTTTTGTTCTACTTCCTGGGCAATTTCCTTATCTTCCAGCTCAAATTCTGTCAAAATTTTTCTTCTGTCATATTTTTGGTTTATTCTTTATTTCTTAGGTAATGATTCATGTTTGTAAAGCCTCCTGTTTCTGATTCATAGATTCTTCTGTGATATTTAAGATTAACGTAAATTTTTGTTTTGGTTTTGTTTTCTTTTGCTACTGGCATTTTCTGTTTCTTTTGAATTTTGTTTCTATGTTGTTTTGTTCTCCATCTCTGGCATAAAGGTCTCCTCTCTAATGTCTAGTGATCCTTGGTTTTGCATACATACTTAAAAATAAGACAGTAAATGTTATTTGAAAAATGTGTAAGCTGTGTGAAACTTATTGACTGTGGGCTTTGCTGCAAGATGAGTAGATTTCAGATATTTTATTATTTTTTACAGAGTTCCACTGGTTTCCTCAGACAATAAGTTTCCCTGATTGGCTGCTTAGATATATGTAAGTCTGGTAGCCAACATTCTGGAGATCAGTGGAGAAGAGTGAACTGACATCTCACTATTTAAAATACTGTCTTTATTTATTTTCCCTATTTTCAATATGGTGTCTCATTTTTCTTCCTCCTGAGTCCAGCGATTTTTCTGGTTCAACAACTTTATTGAATAAATCTTGTTTCCTGCTGTAGTAAGGGAAGGGTCATCACCTAAAGGCACAGAATCGAACGGAGATCTGAAGAGCTAACTGCTCTTTTATTATCACTTAATCCTTCCGTTATCCCTATCATATTTCATATTCACCTATAAAGTTACCAGTTTCTCCCATTTCTGATGATATACTAAATTCCATGGCATATACGAGTTGAATTTTTATTGGAGTCTATATTAGTTTGCTAGGGCTGCCATAATAAGATACCAGAAACTGGATGGCTTAAAACAACTGAAATTTATTCTCACAGCTCTGGAGGCCAGAAGTCCAAAATCAACATGTCAGCAGGACCATGCTCTCTTTAAAGGCTCTAGTGCAGGATCTGTTCCAGGCCTCTCTCCTGGCTTCTGGTAGCCTCAGACATTTCCTGGCTTGTAGATGCTTCATTCCAGCCCTCCATTTTCACATGGTCTTCTTGCTGTGTTTCTTCACATCATCTTCTCTTGGTGCATGTCTGTCTCTGTATCCAAATTTCTTCCTTCTATGAATACATAAGTTATATTGGATTAAGACCAACCTAATGACTTCATGTTAAATGACTAAATCTGCAAAGACTCTTGTTTCTAAATAATGTCATGTTCTGAGATAGCAGAGGTTGGGACCACAACACATCTTCTTTTAGGGGACACAATTCAACCTATAACAGCCTCTCTCCCGCAGTTCTCTTAGGTTTCAACTGTCTCTAGTCTGTTAAATCTGTTAGGTCTTTTCTATATTTCTAGATTTCAAAATTTCGTTGAATATTTCTTCTGTGTTGTCACTTCTTTTCTAGTTATCTTCGTCTTTATATGTTTATTATGCAAAAGAAAATTGTGTATGCTCAATATGCTACACTTATTTTCCAGAATACTTTAAAACTTAAATCATATTACATTAATGCCCAGCTCAACCATCCAATGTTTTCCCATGACACTGAGAATAAAATCCTAAATCTCTATCATCACCCACAAGGATCAGCCCCAACCTAGCTCTCTGAAGGCATCTCCTAACTCTCTGCCTTCACATGCCCCATTCCTGCCACATGACCTTCTTAATATTCTTTAAAATTGCCAAGCATGTTCCCACCTCAAGTCCTTTGGATTTGCTAGTTTCTCCTCCTTCAAATATTCCTGAGGCTTCCTGCCTCACAAGATTTAGGTTTCTATTCAAAAGACTCTCACAGAGATATAAACTTCCTTGACTATTGTCTTGGTTTGGTTTCTTCCAAAACCAACTCCAAAACCAGAATTGGGTAGAAAGAGTCTATTTGGAAGGCAATCCCTGAAAGCAGAGTAAGGAAATAGGAAAATGAGGCAAGGAAGAGAAGAAATTAAGAGTGTGCTGATGAGTGGGTCATTACTGTGGGCACCTGAGACTTCACACCACTGGAGACACTTAAGAACTATCGCCAACCCCATCTCTCACTAGTTGAAGAGATTGCTTCTGGGGACATTAGTCGCCAGTCTGCCCATGTGCTGTCAGAGCTGGTACTGGAGGCAGAGAACATAATAGGCTCCCAATAAACATTTGTTGAAATAATAAATGGAATGTGGAGAATTTTCTGGAGACACCAGGTAGAATAAGTATAAAAAAGAAATCCAGAAAAAGATGTTAAAGCATATTATTGATTTAAAAAACTATCTACTTAGTAACTGAAATTAATGGTAAAAAAACAAGCAAAAAAAAGCTGGGCACAGTGGCTCACGTCTGTAATCCAAGAAGTTTAGGAGGTTGAGGCAGGAAGATTGCTAGATGCCAGGAGTTCAAAACAAATCCTGGCAACATAGCAAGACTCTATATCTACCAAAAAATTAGAAAGTTAGTCAGGCATGGTGGCACGCACCTGTAGCCCCAGCTACTCAGGAGACTGAGGCAGGAGGATTGCTTGAGCGCAGGAGTTGAGGCTGTGAGCTACGATCACACCACTGTACTCCAGCCTGGGCAACAGAGTGAGACTGTTTTTTTAAAAAAAAAAAAGAGAGAGAGAAAATAAGATAGAAGATAGTACCATAGAGTGCTTCTGTTTTTGTTTTTTGTAAATATATTTATGTATATTATTTACAGTACTAATCCTCTGTCCGAAAAAGACTTCAAAATACAGTAGCTTAAATAAGATTCAAACGTATTTTCCTCTAATGTTACATTCAGATACAAGCAGTCTGAGACTGATAGGGCAGCTATCCTTGACATGATAATACCTATCTCTAGACTCAAAATAGTTGTTCCACTCTCTCCATCCCGTCGCTAGTGAAAAGAGGGGAAAATTCTAGGAGAAAAAAAAAATAGGTCCATTCCTTTTGGTTTTTTTTTTTTTTGAGATGGAGTCTGTTCTGTCGCCCAGGCTGGAGTGTGGTGGCATGATCTCAGGTCACTGCAACCTCTGCCTCCCAAGTTCAACGGATTCTCCTGTCTCAGCCTCCTGAGTGGCTGGAACTACAGGTGCATGCCACCACACCCAGCTAATTTTTGTATTTTTCATAGAGACGGGGTTTCACCATGTTGGCCAGGATGGTCTCGATCTTGACCTCGTGATCCACCCTCCTCGGCCTCCCAAAATGCTGGGATTACAGACGTGAGCCACCGCGCCCAGCCAGGACCATTCCTTTTAAAGAAATAACCCAGAAAAGGCACGCATTATTTTTACTCATCCCATTGAGTAGAACACAGTCACATAGCCAAACCTAGATCCAAGGGAGCCTAGAAATGCAATCATTCACCAGATGTGCCTAGATAAAACTAAGGAGTCGATGATTAAAGGAAGAACGGAGAATGGTTATTGGTGAGTAAATAACAGTCTCTCTCACACATAAATATACTTGAACATGAACAATTTTGGAAGAATAAGAATTTCTGGGAAGTTAGAATGGACTCCCAGAGGTCTGGATTAGAGAATGGCTTACTTGTTTGGTAAATCATTGTGTATTATTTGGAATAATTGCTGAGTATGTACATGGTACAGTTGGATGTTTTCTCCTCCAAACCTTATGTTGAAACGTGGTCTCCTGTGTTGGAGGTGGGAGCCGATAAGAGACGTTCGGGTCAGGAGGGCAGATCACTTCTGAATGACTTGATGCCATTCTTGAAGTAATGAGTAAGTTCTTGTTCTGTTAGTTCCCAAGAGTTGGTTGTTTAAAACAGCTTGGCACCTCCCCACACCCCTTGCTTTCTCTCTCACCATGTGATCTCTCCCCTTCACCCTCTGCCATGAATAGTAGCAGCCTGAGGTTTTCACCAGATGCCCAACCTTAGAGCCAGCAGAGTCATAAACTAAATAAACCTTTTTGCTTTATAAATCACCCAGCCTCAGGTTTTCCTTTACAGCAACACAAATGCATTAAGGCAGAATATTACTTTAGTGGCATTAAACATTTATTCTCACCACAGTCAGATGCAAAATAAAAGTTTAGTTTTTTGGTTACCATAAATGGTCACGCATTATCTCCCCACTGAATAGCAGCAAAAGGGGTAAAATTTTAATTTTTGAATTGTGGTATCTTTATCTCTCAGACTCTTAAAAGAGTGTGAAAACTCAGTCTTTTTTGTTTTATTTTGTTTAAGTATCTACTTTCAAGTCACTCCCACCTCTAGAAACTTTTGCTGAGTGGCATGAAGCTGCATGGATGGCAAGGGCTCATGCGCTCTCATGGCACTCTGGAAAGTGGTAGGTCTGCACTAGTCCTTGTCTTCAGATGTGTACTGCTCCTGATGAGTGGTTGGCAAGGACCCATGTCAGACAATTTACTCTGTATCAGACAGATTTGGGAGAAGAATGATCAGGAGCGTGAAAGACACCCTGTCTCTGCACATTCACATTGCTGCACCCATTTATTCTGTTGGGGCTGCTCCATACATGTCTCCCTGCAAAACGATGTACACCCAGCACACCAAAGGAATGGGACAAACATCCTCTGCCCTCAACATCCACTCTCCAGAATAAATGTTCCCATGTCCTCAACTGATTTAGCACTTCTTTCCCCCAGGATTTCAGCATGAAGAGAAGCAGTCAAGACATGTATATCTCATTGCTTTCTTACTATCTCTCCTTATCATTCACCTGGGGACAGAACAGGCAGATTCAGGCTTTCCTCTTTCTTCCAACCCCTCTTTTCTCCTAGAATAGCAAACTTCATGGCCTAGCCATCATCGTTAGAGGCAGTACCATTTCAAAGCTGGGAAGAACTGCAACAACCTAAGCTCCCAGACCTGATTCTTCGTATGTTAATGGGAGCTACACAATTTGGAAATTCTTTTTCTTTCTCCACTAAGACTGGATTTCAAGATTATTATAAGAAATCCTTTTTGGTAGTTGGAAGTGGCATCGATTTTTTTTTCTACTTTTTATTTAAAAATTGCAAAACTACACAATAGTAGAGAAAATTTTTTAAATGTGCATCATACAGATGCATATAATTGTTTCATCTATAACTCACCTTCTTCTGTTGGACTTTTAAAAAAATAATTTCCAGTTTTATTTTAGATTCAGGGGGTACATGTGCAGGTTTGTTATCTGAGTATATTGCATAATGCTGAGGTTTAGGGTATGATTAATCCCAAAGCTACCATAGGTAGTTTTTCAGCCCCTTGCTCTTTTCTCTTATTCCCCCCTCTAGTAGTCTCCAGTGTCTATTGTTGCCATCTTTATGTCCATGAGTACCCAATGTTTAGCTCCTATTTATAACTGAGAATATGTACTATTTGGTTTTCTGTTCCTACATTCATTCATTTAGGATAGTGGCCTCCAGCTGCATCCATGTTCCTGCAAAAGACATAATTTTGTCCTTTTCCACGGCTGCATAGTATTGCATGGTGTATATGTACATTTTCTTTTTCCAATCCACCATTGATGGACACCTAGGTTGATTCTATCTCTTTGCTATCGTAAATAGTGCTGTGACGAACATATGAATACATGTGTCTTTTTGGTAGAATAATTTGTTTTTCTTTGAGAATATACCCAGTAATGAGATTGCTGGGTCAAATGGTAGTTCAATTTCTAGTTCTATCAGAAATCTCCAAACTGTTTTCCACAGTGGCTGAACTGATTGACATTCCCACCAACAGTGTATAAACATTCCCTTTTCTCTGCAGTCTCAGCAGTATCTGTTATTTTTTGACTTTTTAATAATAGCTATTTTGACTGGTGTGCAATGGTATTTCATTGTGGTTTTGATTTGCATGTCTCTGGTGATTAGTGATGTTGAGTATTTTCTCATACATTTGTTGGCCACTTGCATGTCTTCTTTTGAGAAATGTCTGTTTGTGTCTTCTTGTGCTTGTTGAATTAAGCTCCTTCTAGATTCTGGATATTAGACCTTTGTTGCATGTATAGTTTGTGAATATTTTGTCCCATTATGTAGGTCCCAGCTACTTGGGAGTCTGAGGCAAGAGGATTGCTTAAGCCCAGGAGTTGGAGGCTTCAGTGAACTATGACCAGCCACTACATTCCAGCCTAGGTGACGGAGTGAGACCTTGTCTTTAAAACATACACATAGATAAAATTTA